ACATAAAGGTTTTTGACCTTCCTGGGCCAGTTTAAGGCTTCATATAATCCAGTGCCCTCTCCATCTGTGCTCACATGGAGAGAAAATGTGTAGAGAAAAAAAAATTATTCTTCCCAGCATAATCTCCAATTTCAAGGTAAGCAATATTTGCTAGGTTCTGTAGCTAATATCCCATGATGAATTCCTCTTTGGTGACTTTATCTGCTCATTTTAAATACATACAGTATTTAAATACCTACAGTATGTCAGAATCTTTCACAGCTTATGGGTTATGGGAAAATGTGCCTTACATTTATTTCTTGGGGCTGTCTTTGATAACTCTTTGGTCTTCCCCTATTCACCTTCTCCACTGCCTCTCACAGTAAGTCACTGTGGTATCCTTGTTGTCTTTTCCAGGCTGAAAATCCCTTTGTATTTTGTAATCCCCTGTACAGAAACTGGTGTGTAACTTTTGTTATATCATCCTCCTCTGTGTCTTTTCTCACTTCATCCATTCCCTTTATCTTTGCTGAGAAGGCTGAAACTGAAATGGCACTCAAGATTTAGTCACACCAGTCTTTTCTTAAAAAATATTACTCTTTTCTCTTTTGCTTTTTACTTTTTCTAGCAATCCCTACTTATGCTGTGTGTTTTATTGACTGTTACTGAGCATTAATGTGATGGTCTGTATCTGATTTCCTGAGTAGGCACCAGGTAGTTCAGGGACTGTCCCTGAATACACACAGGTAATGACAGGTTTGTACCCTTTAGCTGGCTTAAATGGATGGGTTTGGTTTTCCCAGTGGACAGCAGTGGGTGTTGTCTCCCCCTCAGTAAAGCTTTTGACACTGTTTGGCACAGCATCACTGCAGGGTGATGGAGTTTAGGCAGACAGGAGGGCATGAGATGGGTTGAAAGCTGCCTGAAATGCCAGGGCTGAGGGGGCTGTGATTGGTGGCACAAATCTGGAGAGAGCCACCAGTGGGGGATCCAAGGGCTTGACACTGGGCCCCTCCCAGTTCAGCATCCCCTAGAAAGGCCTGAAGGACGGGGACACCCTCAGCACCTCCAGAGACAAACAGAACTGGGAGGAGTGGGTGGCTCCCTGCAGGGCTGGGGCTGCAGGGGGACCGGGCACCCTGGGAATGGAGAGAATCTGGCAATGGAAGAAACCTTTTGACATTCAATGAAGGCAAGTGCCAAGACCATTCCCTGGGGAGGAATAACCCCAAGCCCCAGCACACCCTGGGGCCCAGTGTGTGGAAAGCAGCCCTGCAGAAGGACATGGCTGGCCCTGGTGACAGCACAAGGAGCAGGCAGTGACTCAGTGCCCCCATGGCAAAGGTGGCAGTGGGGTCCTGGACTGCACTGAGAGGGGAGCTGCCAGCAGGCTGAAAACTCACCCATGGCACCTCTCAGATTGGAGAACTGGTAACTGAGTTCCTATGCTATGTTTTTAACCTTCTGCCTTAACTGCTGTTTCTTCTTTTGAAGACTTTCTTCACATCCCCTGGCAGTTTCTGCAATGGTCTTGATGCAAAGCAGTGTTAGAAGGCTTTGGAAGTCCAGTTGTATGAAATGATCTCTTTGCATGTTGCTGATTCCCTCAAAGTTCTCATTTGTGAGATAGGATTTCCCTCTGCCCATGCTGATTCTTCCACCATGTCACACTTACCCCTGTGTCCACTTATAATTCCTACCAGACAGTGGTAGAAACATCTGGGTAACTCTTTTTTTTTTTTTTTATTTTAAGTCCCAGAAAGCCTCTTAAAAATTGAGACCATGTATATTAGACATTTCCCATTCATATGGCAATGAGACCAGGCACTCATCCTTGGGTTCCTTAAGGCTTCTCAAATGATTGGCTTTTGGCACTTGCTGCTATTCCTTCTGCTGATTCCTGTCTGGAATATTTTGAATAATTTATCTGGTATTTGCCCTCTGCTGGGGAATGTTAGGTTGGCTGTCTCATGAAACTCTTCCATATAAAATACAGAAGCAAAGAATGAGTTTACATATTCTGTCATTTCTTTACTCCAACTGTCCTTCTTAATCTCGGTGTCAGACTTCTTTTTACAGTCTATTTGTTATTTCTTGTGCCTTTCATGAGGAACTAAATCCTCTTTAGCATACTTCTAATGTTTAAATTTCTTTTGTATTTTCAGCTTTTTCAAGGATATCTTTGATCAGCTACTTTTACTGGCTTTTAAACCCAGCCTTCTCTTTGTGTAAACTTTCTAAAATCTTCTTGAACAGGTTCTCTGGTGCCCAAGAAAAATTTGGTGGCTCCATTCAAGCATACTTATAGTTACCTCCTTGAATTAATTTTGTTTTCCCATTTTGCAATTAGGCATTACTATAGTAGATGGTTTGACTAACAATTGTAATATTTTTAGAGTTTGAGATATTATTCTAATTGTATTATTATTCTGATACTATGCTATGTCAGCACCCTCATTAAAAACATTCCCAAGTACTTTGAAATTATGTCCTACAGTGGTTTTTTTTCTATCTGCAATTTATCCATTTTATTGAGATGGGGTTAATGTATTTATTATCATTAATGAACATTCACTGGAGTTACATTGCAGCAATCTGTGTTCTGATGGTTGGATTCACAGCTGCTAATAAATATTTTCTTTCTGTTAGATAAATGCTTTGGCAGCAATTGATTTTTCAAAAAGAAAATCAGAAGTGCTTCAAAAATACCCTCTAAATAGTAGAAGTGTGTAGCTAGAATATATTCACCATCTCTACCTCATCAGTATTTTACTTTACTAAAAGCTTCTCCTTTTTATCCTACTTGCATTCTGTGTTCCTCTGAGAATGAATTTTTGCTTGTTATGGAAAAGAAAACAGTGTAGCTTTTGCAGAAAGGGAACAAACCCATCAGCATCCCCAGAGCATCAATTTATCACTCCAGATTCCTCATGTGTAGGTGCTCAAGACTGTGCTTAGACTACTTTCCAAGCAGACTTAGAGGCAGTTTTAAGGTAGGAGGCTCAACATACTATTGCAAAATTAGTTAATCAATAAACCACGATTACAGAGAATTATTTTCTTTAGCTGACTTGTATTTTTGTCTTTACTTTCTATCCAGGATAAGAAACTGATTATTACAACTGCCATAAAACAATTCTAGCTTAGCTCTTTAGTTACTAGACAGGAGCTGAGGAGATGGATGGATTAAGAATAGTAAGACTATGGGTATATTAACTGTATTTATTTTAAAAAGGAGAAACTCTGGGATCTTCCATGTGGCTTGTGTGGGATCACAGTCTTCTGGGTTGAAGCACTGCTACTGACTGTAAGAGTTCACTGCTCTGTCAGCTGGCAGAATTCAGGTAAGTACCTGAGGACACTGTTTACAAACCAGTGAGGATTCACAACTACTCCTGGCTCCCAGCATCCAGATTTTATCCCATTTGAACTACATCTTCTCTCTTAGCTGCATCATCCAATCCTGGTTAAAGCAAATCCCACAATCTGTGACCCTTATCTTGAATCTGATCCTGTAGGATGGCAGCTGCTCTCTCTCATTTAAGCAACTGTTCACTTGGAGATATTAAGCAGCTTCCATCTGCCTGGAAGCCTCTATTGGAAACCCAGTTCAGACAAGGGTTTAGAAAAGCTCTCTTAATGGGCCACTTAAAGCCTTCAGCATCGCTGTGGAAAAGCAGCCTACCAATCCACAAAAGCATTTTGAAACCAGACTTGTTAAGGAAACTGGAAAACATGTAACATAATGAGTGGACAGGTTAATGCACATGTAATTAAATATTGGCCTAATTTGGGAGCACTGGTAATACTGTACAGGGGTCAGTGTCCCTAAAGGTCAGCTTCCTGTGTGACATTAACTCCTTTCAGGACTTATTTGGTATCATTACAATTACTACCTCGAAGAGATGCAATTCTCAGGTTTTTTGAATAGTAGCAACTTCTACAAGATAAAGAGACAAGATCAAGTATTTTAAGGTATTTTATTTAATAAATAACCAGTAATAGCATTGTAAAAAGTGAACATCTGTTAAAACAAAAAGGCACTTAAAACAAGAATATGACTATGATGTAGTTTGAATCGTCAGAGGCAAATATACATGGCACATGTCAAGAATGATGTGTGACTCTTCACATGACAAACTATGCAATCTTAGCTACAGGGTAAAGGCAAATTTACAGCTAAGACTGCTCAAAAAATAAAAGAAAAAAAAGCTTGTGTTGATACAAAAATATTACAAAAAGATTTGCAACCAAATACGTTAAAAGATTAGAAGGTGACAAAGCACCAGGCTTGAAAGCAAAGAAACATTACAGAATAAAGACACAGCATCACTAAGGCCCTTAGGTGATCTGAGGATGTCTTGGTAAGGTACTTCATGATACTGCCACCCAGGGCTTGAATTTACAAAGAAAAACTAAGTAAGTTACCAGTCAGCAACTTCTTCAGTAATGGCACGTGTTTTAAAGCTATTTTGTCCTTCTTCACATTCTTCTCAAAACTTTTCATTTTAACCACAACCATAACCTGGCAATATGCAACTTGAAAATCAAAGATAAGTATGCACATGCTTTTCAGTCTTGTACACTGCTCCCCTCCAGCTTACTCAACTTACCAAATACTTAATCATTCATCTAGCAAGTCAAAGACCAATTAACCACCAGCTCCATGCTACATGAGTTTAATTACATCTGCAAACTCAAGCCCTGATTTCCCTGTAAAGCTAAAAAGTTTAATACTAAATGGCTAGGCAGAGCCCTCATGCTGATTGCTTTAACCCCTTCCCTCCCAGTCCTGCCATGCAGCACCATGCCCTGCACAAGACCTGGATTCACAAAATGGGAATGGGAAAGGTCAAAAAGGCACCATGTGACCTGGGCTGACTAGGCTACACAGTCTCAAGTTTTGTGTTTTTTTTGTCCAACCTCTGGCACCAATTACTCTTATTTGCAAAAAAAAAAAAAAAAAAAAAAAATTAAAAAAAATTAAAAAAAAAAAATTACATAAGGTCTATTTTCACACAGGAAAACAAACCTGTATGTAATTCATTAGTAAAATCACTGCAGCTTGCCCTAAATCTATCTTATTGTGACTACAAAAGTTGCTATACTGCATACAGTGTTGTGAAGTTATACAAGCAGTGTTCATTTTCCCTCATATTTAGGATTGACCACAGTCGTCACTGCACTCTTGTAAATAGGATTTTCACCCTAGAAAAAGAAAGAAAATTATATTAACATTTAAATATATGAAAAAAGATATGTGTTTGCAAGAAGCATAAAAATCAGCGTAAGAAATTACCCATCAATGCTTTGTTTGTACACACAAACAGCTTAAGTCAAACTAGTTTTCCTTCTAGCAACTTGAACAAAGGCATGCACAGCTAATAAATAAAGCAGAGGGTTAGCAGGATCCTGTTCCATTTGCACCACAGAATTCCTTGGAGGCAGCTGAACCTCGGGGCTGAGCCATCACCCAGGGCTCTGCAGCCCAGGGCATTTTATAGAGAAGAACAGAATTGTAAACAACATTGTTTGACACCACGACTGACCACAGACCCCATTCTGCTATAATAAACATTTAAACAGCTTATCTTACATTGTAATTGAATTCTAGAAGCAATGTGGAAAGACTTCTAGTATTTTGCTAATACACAGTCAATATTTACAGTGAACATTCAGTACTTGTCATTCTCATTTTATTCCTGCAGGTCTCCCCCAACCCCCATAAGAGCAAAATGTACAGATAAAACAAAGAAACTTTTGTACTGGTGCAGATGCTGTAATAAAACAATTATTTCTACTGATATGAGACAAGCCTACAGAACAATTGCTTACATTTCTCTTGCTGAGATTTAAAACCCCCCAAATGAAGCTTATTTTAAGCTTCCTTTCCCCCCAGGTTTCCTTCTATCTCAGTAAATCTTACTTCATTTATGACATCCTTGCACACCTCAGATGAACAGCTTGAACTCAAAATTAACAGATAAATCTTCACAGGAGAAAGGACCACTGCTAGAAGGGCCTGGAGCTGCAGCCCTGAGCTCTTAGCATAGCCTGAACCTCAGCCTAAATGAATGCTGTCTGCCAGCATGGAGCTCTCTGTGCACACACAACTGATTGCTGAGAAAATTCAGCTCAGTGAGGATGTCAGCTGGAGTGCTGCCCTGGCCAGGGCTGGATCTGCCCTTCAGCAGCAGTGAGGGAATCTCTGTCCCTTCAGAGCTCCCCACCCCAATCTGAGATGGGCTGTACAACCAGATTGACTCAACTCCATTTACAATATTTCAGGTTAAACAGATTTTTCCTTCACTAAATTAAAGGATGCACAAACACCAGGTGTCTATTTTTCAGGGTCATAAACCTGGAAAAACAGCTTGGAATACCACAGAATGTGCCAAAGGCAAGTAAGAATCTCACTTGGTGTGAAATTTTCTCATCATGGCTCCTGGGAAGTTTGCTGCCTTCTGTTTGCAAGGCCCAGCACAGGATGAGCAACTGCTCCACCCCAACAACAGAGGCTGCTGCTGAGGGAGACCCTGCAGCTGCTCTCATGGCTCCTTTCACAGAAAAAGGGTTTTTCTCCTCACAGCCAGCTTCTCTAGCATGCAAAGAGCAAGGTGGCACATCCAGTCTTGCCTAGATCCAAGAGATCTGTCCAGCCAGAACCTGGATTGCCAGACAATGGAAGTCAAAGCTGGGTGTTCAGTGCTGGCTGTGCTTCACAAGTACAGTGTAACAGCAAAGGTCCCTTCCCCCTTCTATCAGTTCCCAGGCAAATGCTGTCTTGATTACAAGTGTATCACCTACTGGTCTGGGAAGGGATGAGGAGTAACATTTGGTTGGGTTTTTTTCAATTTTAAATCATGGACAATCATGTGATGTGGCTAGTTCTCACACACACTAATTAATCAATGCAAAATTATGACCTTCCCCAGTATTTTTAGCAAAAGGTTTGCAATAGTAACATGCAAACAAAATGGGAAAAACATGCAGGGATGAGGGATTTCATCTGGTCCTGAAGTATCTCTTTATGCCTCAAAGTTCTTGGCAATGTACATTGCTTATTTCCTTGACAAGATTTAATGGAGAATTCTTAAAAATTTAAATGTAAACCAATAAAGTTTATTATGCAGAGGAAGTCTGTAAGCATAAAAGACTGCATCATATGCAGAGTAGAAGTTATTGTGCAGCTCCTCCATGGCAAGGCATTATGTAATACTTGTGCTGTGTGTAATACTTATCCTCCAACATTTTACAGAACAGGCTCCTCTCAGCACATGCAGGGGCTATACACTCACATCTTCTAGTTGTAGAAGAGAGATAAATTCTACCAGATAGCCTAGGAATGGGTCTAAAGGCAAGGCTTAAAACTTGGAAATTTGCTAGGTGCAACTCATACAACTAATTTGAACCTGAAATCAGGCTTAACATACAATTTGAATAACAAGATTGCAAGTTTTCTACTACACTGCTTTTTAAAGAGAAGTCAGAATTGAAGTTCTCATGCTGCTGATTTAGCATAAGCCCTATAAGGATATTGAAACTCTGTCAGAAGCACACAGTGGGATTTAGGTCACTGGATAAAGCACTTGACTAGCTGTCTCCCCATATCAGGTCAGTGTCTCAGTTCCCACTACAAATAATGGAGATTTAGTCAATACTCACAACTCTTCAGCTTAACCCAACCTGACATTTGATCAGCTAAATGGCTCCTGAGGCTCTACTGCCTAAAACTGCAACACAGGCACCTGATGGATCTGCAGGTTCCTTCCCTGCTCTCTTCTGGTGAAGCCCAGGCTGCTCCAGCCACCCCAACCACCCTGCCTTGGGCCTGCCTTGGCAGGGTCTCCTGCAGACAGCTCTTCATTAAAAAAAATATCCACTTATCCAACATGATGCTCCCCTCACTCAGGGCCTCACAGCTGGCAGAGGGTATATATTTTCAGACATTAGAAGCATTCCAGTCTTTTAATTGGCCACTTAAAACATGGGATTCCAAACTTGCTGTCTTAGACAAATAGTAGGATTTCAAATGCTCCCTTTTCTTCATGGCACTGCAGAGAATACACTGCATGTATTATGTATATTTAAGCATGCAGAGTTAGGGAAAACACATTTGCCACATGCCCCTACAACTGAAAAGTCCATGCACACTTAAACCAAAATTAAAATTAACAAACAGTAACTACATACAAGACTCAGTGAAATACTGAGCAAAATAAAGATGGAGGTACTTTTAAAAAGTCTTTAAAAGACTGGGGTGTTCA